AATCCTCTTTGGGTTTACCAAACACCCACAGAAGCTCTGAAGAATTTATATGGAAATGAAGGCAGCCCTACATCTGCTTAATTAGACAGATGCACTCATAAAAGGAAACAAGTGTCTGCTGGAATGGAAGGAGGATTGGGATGGGAGGGGAATTCCTTTTCAGCTGTTTTCACAGGTTCATTTAGGGGTTATTGTCTTACAGGCTCCAGTCTCTTGGGTCACTACCCTACTCCACAGGAAAGAGGAAGATGTTCACTTTCACATCCAATAAAGTATTCAAATTAACCTCCCTCCCCACTGTGATATAATTAATGTCAAATTTAAGGAAAGCAGATTGCAGATTTCCAAAAGGATGGCAGAGACCTAACCAATTTACTGGTATTGAGTTGTGTATTAGAATCACCTGGGGAGCCTTAAAAATGATTATGGCCATGGCCAACTAAAACAAATCACTGCTAATTCACCATCCTCTCAAAATTAACTTGAGGAGTAAGATATGGTCTTAGTGTAAAAAAAAAAAATTAGAATTTGAAATTATTAGCCTGTGTTTTCCACTGGGCCTTTAGTAATATTATTGGGCCAAATTAAATTTGCTCAACTTTTTTTAATACAAACATTCATGCAAGTGCTCATAAACATATAACACACAACATAAGGCACAGAGAGACAAATGCCAATATGCTTAGAAATTGACACTACATATTAATAACAGTACAGACACACATTCAGGATATAGATTTTTTCAGAACCTCACAAACAGGCTCATAGTCATACACACACTCAGATACACACAGACATGGAGATCTCATACAACAGAGACCCACAGACACAGAGAAACAATCACAGACACATACATATCTGGATGCTTTCAGAAGGCAATTTGTATAAACATAGTCTGAAATACACACAGAAAGAACATCAGAGCTATGCAAAAAAAAAAGAGAAATAAGAGTCACAGGATGAACTTCATGGTTTGCAAATTATATCTATATAAGGCTATTGAAAAATTAAGAAGAAAAAGAATCACTGAGATAAACTTAGACACCTAGCACACAAAAACCTAAGAGGAAACATTACACATTCAAGAATTCTTCTTTAGAAAGTTTCATTTTTGTTTTTTTATTAGTGTGGGCAGGCTCTTGGAGTAGCAGCATTGGGTGTTATTTGCTGCCTCTTGGTGGATGTATTTTTGCTGAGATCACTTATAAGCTTCTTGGCTCCATGCCCAGGTGGATCATATAGGAGGCAGGGTTGGAATTATAGCCTTCAAAAAGAAGAATTATTCATGTTTTATTGAAAAGGAGATTCTGCTGAAATTTCCCTCTTATGGAAACCTAGAAATTTGGATAGCAAGTAAAGACGATTTCACTGGGTTTGGATGCTGACAGAGCTTGAGACAGCAAAACAAAACAACCTATAGTAATAATAATTAATAAGTACTATATCTGTGCCCTTTTATAATATAATAAATTTTCTTATAACTACCTACTCAGTGAATCATGTGACACGGCTGTTCAGTGTGATCTAATTTGATCTTCAGGGCAACCAAGTGAATACGAATTATTATTATCAACATTTTACACTTGTCACAATTAATGCCAAGAGGCATGAGGTAACATTTTTGAGGTGATCTGGTCACTAAGTTGCATGTTTGGAGGTCAAATACATGACTAATGGGCACAGTCTTTGCTTTTAGTAACTGCATGACTCTGACATTTGCACTCACTGAACTTGGGGTTGATATTATGGTTATTCTTACTTTTCATATGAGAAAACTGAATATTGGAGAGGCAATTTTATGCCAGATTTCCATGGACACACAGAAGACTTGAAATCAATGTTCTTATTCCTGTTCTAGGGCTGCTTGCACCAGAGAAATAAGACTTAGACCATTCCATGGGTTATATGCAAACTGCATTTATTTGATGAAGGGGGTAAAGCTTAGAAACCATGACTGAACTAAAACGGCAGTGGGCATGCCTTGAACATCCTTAGAAGACTGGATTCCCCTAGAAGATAATAGGGTCAGAAGCCCTCTTCACTTCTCTCTGCTTCTTTATCGATTCTCTGAAGATAATGAAACTGTTCTCCCTGGCATGTTGGCTAATGATATCTCCAAAAGCTCTTGGAGGGGATTCCATCCTAACCATGGTAATGGAGGTATGGCCTTGATTTCAGGAAAACATCTTACTCATTTGCCATTTTCTTAAGGTGTGTGCCCAGCTGGAATGATACATGCTCAATAAGTGTAAAATCGCCTTGATCATGTTGTAGAATTTCCTCTAAATCATCTCCTTAGAATCTGAGGATGATTTTGAAGTCCCCCGTTATTCCACAATTTTTAAACATGTATCATGTGCTTGACCCTGTGATAACCTGTGTGTGTATCAGAATTGGAGACCTGTTCTCAAAGAGCATGTGCTTTGAGGAGAAAAATAAGGATTACATATTATGGAATACTTAGAAATCATTGGACTGTATGTTCTCAATAAGGCAAAAATTGGTTCTTGAGGAGAGACAAAATTTATTAAATAGTACCTGGTTTTTGGCTCTCCCTCCAAATTTCAATCCTTTATTTGATAAATTCTTTTCCTTAATATTCAATGCCATGTATAGGTGATTAGGAAAAAAAAAAGATGTTTAAATTTCCCTACAGAGGTGATAATATAAAAAAGGTTGAGAAATACTATATTAGACTATACATCTCATAGCTCCATATTATTCACTTAACCATTTCAAATTCTGGCCAATTTTAAAAATCAAGAGCTTTATATAACTTAAATTCCTGGTTTCTTTTAAAAACAAAAATCAGAATATCTGGCAACTTTGAGTTCCCATGGCCAGAAATTGGCCAGATCTGTGGAGCAGCTTTACCATTTAGGCTGTATGTTTAGCCACTGCAGGTATCTATGCACATTTTCAGTATTCAGAGAAAAGTAATTATAAATTCAGTGACAGATGTTTCAGCAGTCCAGGGAGAGAGAAGTCAGCAAAGACTTGAGCATTAAACAATGGCTTCATAAAGAAAGTAGGAATTAAGCCTCCCTATAAGAAGTCAAAATTCCATGAGGGAATAAAGGAGGATGATTGAGTAGAGGGTTCATAAGAAGAGGAAAAGATTAATGCAATAGTAAATCCTGGTGGACAAAAGACTGTGCAAAGTAAAACTTTTAAACATTTAGAATAAAATGTAAGACGTTATATTTACAATCTTAGGTTTAGAAGAATCTTTTAAATGACACAAAATAGGACAAACCATAAAGGACAAAGTGCACAAGTTTGAATTCAATAAATGAAAAAAACATCTGTTCATCCAAAGATATCATAAATAAGGTAAAAAGACAAGCAGCAGACTTTGAGAAGATATTTACAATGTATAAAACTGACAAAAGATAATTATCCAGAATTCACAGAGAACTTCTGCAAATCAAATGAAAGAGATAAACAACCCAGTGTAAAAATAGGAAAAAAAGTGGGAAAAATGTATGAAAATGCCATTCACAAAAGTTATTAAAAGACCAATGGCCAATATATACATGAGAACATACTGAATTTGAAATGGTATCAGGAAAATGTAAATTAAAACAATAGTAAGATATCATTCCATTCCCATCATACTTACATAAATCTAAAATCAAATGATTTCTTAGGTCCTGGCAAGAACATTACAAATTTTGAAATTTCATACATTATGGGGATGCAGGACACTCTTTTGGAGGTCAATTGACAATATTTAATAAACTGTATTATTTACATACTTATTCACTCAGCAAGTCAATGTAGGTATGTAGCGTGAAGAAATTTTCACATGTGTGCAAAAGAAGATATATACTTGAATGTCTGTCATCTCATTGTATAGGATTGGGGGAAAAAATGAAAACATCGTAAATCATCCTCAACAGGAAAAAAAATTGAATAAATTGTGATATATTCACAAGATGAAAAACTGTAAGGTAGTGAAAATAAATGTAATAATATAGCACATATCAACTTAGCTAAATCTCCAAAACCTTGGGAAAAAACCAAATTGTATAGAAATACACATAGTATTATAATAATTTTACTGAGTATAAGAGCACACAAAACAGAAGACTGAATAACATGCTCTTGGGGTAGCTGTTGAAATAGAAATGGTTTGTGCAGGGAAGATAAGGTTGCCTAGATCTCGTGCAGGGTACATTGGGGCCTGGAGGAGGGAAGCATGTGAAAAACTGCACTTTGTTGTAACACTTTGAAAATTGCTGTGCTTTCATTGTCTGATCAAGCAACCATTGACAAAATCTCTTTGCAAGGCTGTTACCTGGAGAAAAATAGCCATTGTAGATTCATATGGAAGATAGGAGTTTCTAGTTTCAAAATTTTATCTGAAGAAATAAGAGAATCTTTGCAGAGCAGCCAGTCCTGTGAGAAAGAAAATCGGTGGATGTTCTCTTTGATACAGACATTGTGGAGGGGAAAAGAATTTGGCTCCCATAGGTCATTCAGTAAAACAGGTAAACTTTACCCCTTTGTTCAGATTCTTGCAATGACCTTACTGCTCTCACCACTGTCTCTGTCCATGCCTTCAATCTCTGCCTCTAGCATGCATACAAGTCTCCCAAAAGCCACGCCTTTTCTTGGCTTGAAAATTTTATTCCCCTTCTCAACAATCCTCATATCCTTACTATTCTCTGAGCAGTGTCTGAATCCTGCAGCCTCTGACGTTTTTCTTATTGTTATTGTATTGTTTTTATTTTTCCTTTTAAATAGACATTAAATAAGTTCATAGAAAAATTGAATAGAAAGTACAGAGAGTTCCCATAAACCCCCTGCCACGCCCCACACATAATCTCCCCGCCATCAACATCCCCCACCGGAGTGCTACATTGGGTACAACTGATGACCACAGTGCCTTTGTTGATGCTGTTTCTTCTTCCTAGAGCATTTCATTTTTGTATGAGAGCCCCACCCTGCTATGAATGCAACCTCCTCCAGGATGCCTTACCTGGCCTTCCCCTCAATTCAATGCTCTCTCTCTCCTGCTTCTGCTGATCCCTTCAGTGGTAAGGCTGGCATATTCTCTCTGTATGTCTGGGCTATTTTAATTACAAGTCATTGGACACTAAACTGTGCATAAGAAAAAACAAAGAGATATCCATTGGGTTAGTAAGCATGCCCTTAAAAATGGATAGAGGGAAATGGTGTAAAACTATAGACAGGATTTATGGAATTACTACTGTGTGCCCTGGCCTGTATATAACACAAACCATAGCGTGCTCACTTTGGCAGCACATGTACTAACATACACTGTGTCATCAAATCCCCTCAACGGGTTGTATTAGCTTCCCTACCACCACCACAGGAGAGTAAACAGAAATTCAAAGTAAAAAAGAAAAGTAAATAAATTTAATGTCTAACAAAAACTAAATCTCTCTCAAAATAATAGTATATCCATATAATAGATCATTGTACTATTGCAGATTATAGTTTGGAAGACTATTGGATGACACGAAGCAGGTCATAATATAGTATCCAGTGGGGAAAAAAGCAGGATATTACATCATGCATGCACACACTTCTGTACACGTGATTGTAACTTTTGAAAATATGTTTATACAATGTAATAACTGGCAGAAATTATATCAAAAAAATTGAAAGCCATCTGTAGGCAGCCACTTAAAACATAACCCTTTCTCCGTTTCCAGGTCTCCACAAAAACCTTTACGATATTTTAATAACAATAAGTAAACAAATATGTAGATAAAAACTTAGTCATACATGCCATGTAACTTTTCCAAATTAAAATAGCTGTAAGAAAGTGGTTCATCTGCAACTGGAGCCTAAGTCTGCATATTTTCCTCATTATATCATACTGTTCCCTTGTAAGGACCCTTGACAACTTGCATGCCTCAGGTAAGGTAAAGATCCAGGTAAGGCTTTGACTCTCACACACATCGAGGACCCTGTCTCTCCACATCCAGTTCTGCCCTAAGACAAGTATTCATTTCTCCTGGGCAGCAGTGGGCACAGGACCTGGATCCTTTAGATGTTGCTGCTTTGTTACCCAAGTGGCTCTTCTTTTCTTACCTGACATCCCTGGACTTGGTTTGTTCAGAGCGGCCACAGGGTATGCCAGCCTCCTCTAACCTGTGGCCATTCACAGACTAGATCTTTTCTTGAAGGGTTGGACGTGCATTCTCCTATACGAGACTGACACACATAAAACACTTCTATTTTAAGAATTTCAAAGTTCTCAACTTTGCAAGGTGAAAGGCTAACACCACTCAACCTAAAGTGAACTGTCAACAATTTATTTTCCTGAAAAGATGGGAGTATTCAGCTAATGAATTTCCATTAAAGACTTGCTTGTAAAGTGCTAATAGATTTGGGAAAGGGACCGTTTTCCATTAGTTTAATTTAAAAGATGGAGATTAAATTACGGATCTGTTGGAGCTACCTCAGGCTACAAGTTTCACATTCAGTCATTTCCACAAAATAACCCAGTTTGTCGGGTCTCAGGCCCTCAACTAGAGGGCCAATCGGGTGTTTTCCAGCATCCTGTCTCCCTCAGGCAGTTTCATTCATCCACTGACCCTTCAATCAATCACCTGTGTCCACCATTCTGCAAGGTGGCTGGCCCCCACTTTTACTGACAATTATTTTTCAGGGTAGACTTTTTTTCATGTTTCATTTGTTCTGTGGAAGCTAAATGCCATTTTGGCCACAGAGATATCAATTTTTGCCCACATCACATTCTGTCCATGGAGCCATTAACAATTGGAAATAATTCCCAGGAGGGATCTTTTCCTTAGAACATGGGTGGGTAATTTACTATTGACAGTGTTTTCCTTTGGATCAGAGAGCCTTACTTGTGATGAATATTCTAAGAAGCTTTAATAAATCTAAGAGAACTCCTGTGTATTTACCTCACTGTGCCTTAAACTTCATAGTCCTTTATACTTATCATCCTTTTTCTTACACATTTTGACATTTTCCCTTTCGTGTAGGATCATGAGGCTTGCTGAGTGGGTATTATGTCCATTTTATAGGAGAGAAAACTGGGGCTCAGAAGGATTAAGGAGCTTGTCCTGCTTTAGTCATTCACTGTCCCTTTCATCTCCAAACGACTCCAGGGGGGATTGTATTGTTTTCCTGGGGTGCCATAACAAAGTGCCACTAACTTGGTTGCATAAACAACAGCAATGTATTGTCTGACAGTTTCTGAGGCAAGAGTCTGAAATCAAGGTTTTTGCAGGGCTGGTTCCTTCTGAGAGCTGTGAGTGGAGAATCTGTTCCAGGCCTCTCTCCTTGGCCTACAGATGGCTTTCTTAATGCTGACATGATGTTCTCCCTGTATGAGTCTGTTTCCAAATATCCCCCTTTTCATAAGGATGCCAGTCCTATTGGATTAGGGCCTACAGTATAGTCTCATTAGAATTTGATCACCTGTGTAAAAACCCTGTCTCCAAGTAAGGCCACATACTGAGGTACCAGGGATTAGGACTTCAACAGTGAATTGAGGGTGATGCAATTTGGGAAAATTTATGGAAAGAACTCTGTCTAAGATGCTACTTAGTGTTTATGAGTTCTTTCCTGATGTGGGCCTTGTCTCTGGCCTTAGCCTAAGCTCTTAACACTGCCCAATGGAAACTGTAGCCATACCAAACTACTTAGTAAAAATACCTAATGTTTATTGAGCACTTAAAGTACTGTGCCAAGTGTTTCACATGTGCAAATAATGTGAACTTTTGCCAATCTCCTTATTATCATCTTATCATAGATTCATTTATTCATTCATGCAATCATTCATTCACTCAAAAACTTTTTAAAATGCCTGTTATTGGTAAGCTTTGTTCAAGTTGCTGGGGGGTACAACACAGTTACCAACAAAATAGCGAAAAGAAATCTCTAGCCTGGCAAACATACATTCTAGTGAAGGAAAGCAGAAAAAAATAAATTAAAGCATGTCATGATATATAAGACAACAGAGAGTGCTACAGAGAGAATTCAGACAGAAATGGAGGTACTTCAGGGGCAAATGCAATTTTTAAAATTTATACAAAATAACTTTATACTTATGGAAAAATTGAAAGAATACTCTGTATCCATATTCCCCCAATGTTATTCTAAATAAATCCTAACTTATAAAGAAGTTGCAAGAAGAGTGCAAACAGGCCATGTACCTACTCCCTTGATTCAGAATTTCCAAATTGTTTGTTTGCCAACATTTGCTCACAATCTCTCCCTCTTCAATCTCTGTCTCTCCCTCCCTGATAAATTCCCAGTGATGCTTCTAGTTCCAGTTGTCTTTGTCTCCTGGGCACCTGGAAGACACTTCTGCCTGCTCATTCTGGGGACACTGCCCATTTACCTACCACTTCTCCTGCAGCCTGCCCAAGACCCCACCATGACACCGTTGCTTCTGCAATCCCTTCCGTCCCCTCAGTCCACACGCTGCCAACTTCTAAGGGAAGGGAAGGAAAAAGACAGGAAGAAAGTTTAAATACAAACGTAGAAATTGAAGCTTAGAGGAGTCATTTGTGCAAATTCACCCAGCTATTGGGTGGTGGAGCTTTTTTATCTGCCATGAGATATAGAACTAATTCTTGGCCGCTGTGTAGTATTTTCTCATCTACTAAGGGGGAAACTGAGGATTAGAAAGGATAAGGAACTTCCTGACTATTTTAAGACCCACTGCCTGTGCAGCGTCTGTAGCCTGACATCCTGCTTCTTTTCTGCTGTCCCAGAAAATACATACTCTGCAAAGTTCAGAACAACCACTGCTCTTGTGTAAAATCGCTTCTGATCTTCTGTCATCTGGATAAAATTGAGCACTCCTGTCTTTTCACTTCTGCCCCCGGTCCACTAAAAGCCCTTCTGCAGGCTTCAGTTCCATCACCTAATACATTTCAGGATGCCTGCAAGTGCAAGGTCTGTCTCTGTTCACTCCACAGATGCCCTCCCTGTGGCAGCGAGAGGGTGTGACACAATCATTCTTATGTCTTCAGAGCCTGGCACAGAGTGGGTGCTAAAAAATGGTTATTGAATAAACAAAATGAAAGAATTAAAAAGGAGTAGCCAAGTCTTTGAATTCCTCTTCCCCTGAAGAGTTCCTGTGTATTTTATAATAAACAATACATTGCATCATGAAAGTTTTATTACAGGAAGTTTTGCAATAGTGATATCCTTTAGTGCATTCAAAATAGGATTTTATTTGTTTATGAAAACTTTCTTTAGACACAAGATTGTTCACCTTTCCGTGAGAAGGAAGGTAAATTTCTCAAACTCTCTGTCCTTCTGAGATCTGCATGAGAGGGAGAGTGACCTCCATCACAGGGGACAGGACACATGTGGCAGGGGTGAGAGGCAGGGGCTCCCCATAAAAGTGCTAGTCTGAGAGGCTTCCCATTGCTGGTGAAGGATGCAGCAGTCAAGGGCAGACACCCACAGCGCATGCGTGCTGCCCTGCAAGGCCCCCAAGCCTGCATCCCTGTACTCACTCCTGCCTGCCACTCACATGGCATCACCTGCTCCCTGCTCATCCTCCCAGGCTGACTTTAGTCTCCACATGAGCCCTTTTAGTCCAAAATCTGGTATATAGCATCTTGACTAATTTGTAATATTTCATCAAATATTACAAAATGCAAATCGATATTTAATTTGTATATCAATAACTACAATATATTAAGAATTCACTGTGTGCCACACTCAACATTTTGTGCATTAGAATCCCATAGGAATAGAATAAGGGTGGTTTCAGCTTAACCCCATTACAGTGGGTATTTTGGATTCAGATTGCTGCAATTTGCAATTTGAATCCTGCTTCTGCCATGTCACGTAATCGCCCTATATAATACTAACAGAATTCCTGTAAGCCTGGTATTAGCATCTCCGATTTATAAATGAGAATACCAAGGCTTAGCAAAGTTGAATGTCCTTCCAAATGTGTATGGCCAGCAAGAAGCAGGGCTGGGATGGACACGTTTGCCTGAGCCAAGCCCAGGCCCTGCCTTTGCCCCTGCATAGATGTGGCTGAGGCCCCTTCTTGTAGCTCAAAACCTTCCCTTGTGTCAGTTCATCTACCCCTCTTGTTAAACTACAATGTTAACTGGCTAGAACTATTTATAATGGGCACAGCTGACAATTATAAACCCCCCATCCCCACCCAAAAGGAATTCACTATGCTCCAGAATGTGCAGTTTAAATATTAATAGTTATCATCCAATTTCTTAAAGATGTATTTCCAAATGTATTTACTGTATGTCAAGGGCTCTCCAATTCCTATTTCAAATAATTATTTATCTCCGTAAACATAACATGGCTAACATGTTAATAAAATTTTTAACAAACCTAGACTTAATATAAATAATGCAATAGCCGGGCGCGGTGGCTCACGCCGGTAATCCTAGCACTCTGGGAGGCTGAGGCGGGCGGATTGCTCAAGGTCAGTCAGGAGTTCGAAACCAGCCTGAGCAAGAGCGAGACCCCGTCTCTACTATAAATAGAAAGAAATTAATTGGCCAACTAATATATATAGAAAAAATTAGCTGGGCATGGTGGCGTATGCCTGTAGTCCCAGCTACTCGGGAGGCTGAGGCAGCAGGATTGCTTGAGTCCGGGAGTTTGAGGTTGTTGTGAGCTAGGCTGACGCCACGGCACTCACTCTAGCCTGGGCAACAAAGTGAGACTCTGTCTCTAAATAAATAAATAAATAAATAAATAAATAAATAATGCAATAACAGTATGTGTTGTTGGGCCCTCATTTCTATTGACATTTTCTCCAGAATCTCACTACCCCTCCATCTATCACATGTATATATTAATAATACTATAATGTCTTTTCTTCTTGCTGGATCATACTACTGATAACCTTTGTGTAACATATATCTGTTCCTTCAACAATCAGTATTCTCGAGAGTTGTTATTAGGGTAATATTCGTCTTATCTCAGTAAGAACTTGGCTGTGTTTTCACCTTATACATCAACATAAAAGTTCAATTAATTTCAAAGTATTGAGCACTGAACTCTGCTATTACAAATTGCAGGCTAATTAATGCTCCTTTACTTGCTCATTTATTTGGAATCTTCTCTTTTTTTCTCCCTGTCAGAGCCAAGTAAGTATGTAAATTCCATTAATTGTTTTTACTAACTCATTAAATGGATTATAGAGCAAAGTAGTAATTTTCAAAATTATAGCCATCCAACACCTACATTTGAAAAGGATGCCACATTCAAAGGGATATTGTTAACTAGACAGTAAGTAAAAACTGCAGGGAGAATTCTTCACAGCAACATATGCAACTATTTTATTTTAATGGATTTCTGAAATATAAATTCCTTGAAGGACACATCTAACCTTGAGATTCTATGAAATAGCAGCTAGCTAAAGGGTGAAAAGGAATATATCATTTCATATGTTTAAATATGAAGATTATGAAAGGATATCTAAAAAGATTGAGCATATGTAGGAAAACTAAAATGTATTGAACATATGACAAGTTACTTCATAGTTTTAACAACTCTGATCTGAATTTTTATTCCCATTACATAGATGAGACAACTGAGCCTGAAGTTATGCAGTATTTATGCAATGCTCCTCTGAGGGCAGCTTTCCAAGCAGAGGGGAGGGACCCATGAGAAAATGTGAAGCAAGAGGAGTTAGAAGAATTAAAGGCAGGTTGACATGCCTGGAGCACAGCGGCTGGGGCACAGTGGTCTGAGCTGAGACCCATGCAGAGTGCACTAAGGGTGGCACATGCAGGGTTTTCTAGAAAATATTAAACATCTGGGGCTTCATCCGTTATGTTTTGAAAAGATTACTCTTGCCACAGTGTGAAGGGGAGAAGGAAGAGTGGGAGAAAAGATGCAAGACTATTGCCAAAGTCCTGGGAGGTGATGACAGTGTGGACTGAAGGGGAGAGTGGAGTCAGTGAGAGATGTAGTAGGTGAGAGAGTGATGGGCATCACTCATGATGTCAGCAAAGGGTGGTGATGAGGGAAAGGGGCTTATGAGGATAATTGCCACGTCTCCAGGCGTGCTCAGCTGTGTGAAAGGAGGCACCCTTTCTTGAGGCAGAGAGCGCTGGAGGAAGAGAAATTAGCAGGGAGTTTTATGCATTTGTTCTAGGCCATGAAGAGTTGAATAATGACATGTGGAAAGATATTTCAATGTGCAGATTTCAAGTTCAGAGTAGATATCTACATTTAGGATATAAGTTTGAAAATCAAAGTAAGGAGCATTTTAAAAAGTTATTTCAGTGTTTCTCAAAGTGTTTCTTGAGCTAATATCAGAAGCCCTTGCATATCTACCTCATGAGTCCATGATTCTCAGGCTTTAATATGCCTCATAATCACCTGGGCACAGTGTAATGAGGAAGATGAAGACTCTGGAGTCCATCTGCTCTGGTTTGAATCAGCTCTGACATTTTCTAGAATCAATTTGAGCAATTTGATGCCCCTGTCTCCATTTTTCTCTGTAAAAAGGACATAATGATACCTGCCTAATTGAGTTTCTTGGGGATTATATACGAAAATAATGAAATAAACCAACCAAGTTAACTTATATAGAAGTTTTAGAACACTTAGTGGCACTTAATAAACAGTCAAAAGATAAAAATAAAAGGCTAGGCAAGCCATTATTGTTTGCCAAGGATTTTTTTTTTTTTAAGTGTAGGTGCATGGCCCTCACTTCAGGCTTTTAATGTAAACATCAAGTTACAGAATAAAGTGGACATTTCATTGTGCATTTGGTTGTTTCAGACTGGAGAGAGATGATGAATTAGAATTCAATGGATCTGCTGAGTAGGATGAATCTGGCCCCTACCACACCTACTAAATCACAGTGTCTTAGTTCAGAGGACAGGAAATCTGTGTTTTGGAATAAATTTTCCAGGTTCTGAAGATGCTGATCCACTGCCAGGCTTGAAAGTGGTTATATTAGACAAGACCGTGTGATTCTTGTTGTCAGGTCAGGATGTCCACCAAAATATGCAGTCCCCCTTTCACAGTGACATTATTTTGCTGGGACGTGCGTGGCCATGCGGGAGGCACACCGAGTATCAGGTATAGGCATGCGATTAGCACTCACCAGTGACCGTGAATGGAAGTGACGTCTGTCCCTTCTGGATGGCGGCTTCTGAGAAGCAGTCCTGTCCCTTCCACCCTGTTTCTCCCCTTTGGCTCAGGAAGCGTAGAACAACAAGCACTAGGGGGTGCCGTAGCCATAAGATAAAACGAATCAAAACAAGGAACTGATGACAGTAGGATAGTCTGTTGTTACATGAATGAGAAAAAGGCTCACGCAAATGAAGAAAAAGCTTCTAATATACTATTTGAGGGAACTTTTGGAAATTACTTATTATGGCAGTTGGTCTTCCCCTGATAGCTGCTCTTAAACATGAGACTTTTCCTCTAAGACAATATTTATCAGAAGCCTGTTGGTGAAATGGGTAACTCCATCAGAATCAATGTGCTAGACTCTTATGATACAATGAATAAAAAATCTTTTGCTTGGTTCTGGGAACATAACTCTATGTCTGAAAAAATATCAGTATTTCAGTTGTTTCTCATTGTTTTCAGTTTTTATTCTTATTTAGAGTATAGTGATTTAAAAAAGTGTGCACTTGGAAGAATCTTACATTTTTTTAAGTAAAAATATAATATAAATTAGTGAAAACTGGTAGCTTTCTGTTTGGCTTCACAGCTCTTTGATAGCACAGGAAAGGTTTCAGTGGTTTTGTATCCCTGAAAGTAAGAGATTAGTCTCTCTTCTGTATCTTTTCAGACAACCAAACACCTGTTTTTGTAAAATACAGGAAAGTTGTTTGTATCTAGATCATTACTTAACCCAATAAAAAAAAATTTCCAAGCAGTGTAAACATCAATATTCATGAATTATTATTCTTTTAAGAATGTTGGCTCAATTTACATATAGATTAAACTTTAAATTTATGAAATGTGACTTTCTTTCATTCTGATGACTTAATGCTGCTTGTATTTTAGGAGTATGTTTCTGACACAAAATGCTTTACATTTTTCCATGTGACTGAGGCCATGGAAGACCCCATATTTGGCAGACCCCATAGCGTTAAATTGCAAATTAAATTTGAGATGGCAAGGGAAGGATGTTCGGAAAGTGACTGAGCCTTAGAAATTAGAACAACATTCAGCTAACACACATGGCATGAAAAACTCATAATGAAGCTTCCTCCTATGGAAAGGGGGTTTACAGAGAGCAGGTTTTGTTTTCAAGACCATATGTTTGATGTCAGCCTTTGATCACCACCCACTCAACTTGTTCTTTGCACAGAGATGACATTAATCTTCTTTCCTGGAATTTTATTACATGAACACACATGTATGTACAAACACACAAGCACATCCCTAGACTGGACCCTTTCTCCCACATGGCCTGAATGTAGGTAAAAATGAAATCACATACTAAGGACTTTTTCTTGCAACTTCAGTGGCAGAATCTAACTTCTTTGGCAGACCTCACAACATTAAAGTGCAAATTGATTTTGAGAAGCAGCAAAAGGATATGGTAGAGAGTGACTGAGGCCTGGAAATTAGGATGATGTAGAGTTAATACACGTGACCTGAGGAATTCATAATCATTCTTCCTGCTTGCTAATGAGGGTTTACAGACAGCAGTTTTAATTATTGAGGCCGCATGTTTGATGTGAGCCTTTGATCAGCACTGACTCAGCTGTTCTCTGCATAGAGAGGACTCTAATTTCCTTTTCTGGTAGTCGCTTACACACACACACACACACACACACACACACACACACACACACACCCGTCTCCCACATAGCCGGACTGTGGGTAAAGGAGAAAGTAGACCCTCATGTTTTCACCTTGATGTGTTCATGCCTTACATCAGAATGGCTTTCCCATTGTCTTTTGTGACAAATCCTTTTTGTTTCTTTTTTGTTGTTGTTGTTATTTTTTCCCCAAGGGCATGTGATTTAGCATAATCGGCTTCTCAGTGATCATCGATTTCTCTAGAAACAATTACATATAATAGACCCAAACCCTATGCTCTTCCTAAGTCTTCCACCCCTCTCTCTGACATTGGTGCAGTTCCTTGACTTCTTTGAACACTAGTTTTCTCAACTGTTAAAGGGGGGGTGTGGTCAGCTGTAATATAGACCTTCTCAAGTTGTTGGGATGGCTAAACAAAATCATAATGTTTCTTTTTCTAAGTCTGTGTCTGTTACTTGTTCTACCACTGTCACTTAATTACCAGGAGACCCAGAGACAGGTGTTTTTATTCTTATAGGGGGACTCTTACAGCAGTGCCCAGCTTAACCATCCCGAATGGACTGACAGCAGGTTTAGGGGGTTAAAATGAGAGTTAAGATCAGTGGAAGAAAGGAACAAGAATTGACCAACAAGTCATACACAAAATATTAATAAATCAATCAGAGAATTTTGATTAATGTGTTATTTATTAGTCAGCATATGTTTTCTAGCCCAGCAGACTCACTTTGGATGCTTGTTAAATATTGAGATTCCTGGACCTGATTTCAGACTCATTGAAAAAGGAGGTCTGGAGTTGAGGCCTGGGAAATTGCTTTTTGAACAAAATTCCTAGGTGGATTATGGTACACATATAAGTGAGAACCATTGGACCACTGTGTACCAACTGCAGTGCAAGTTCTAAATGGGATAAAAATAAACAAAATACTCAAAGTAAGTGGTTTAGTTTTAATATATTAACCAAAAATCCCTTTTCCCTTTCCCTCAAAACATCCACATCCAGAGCTGTCCTTTGCTGGAACTCAACAGAACCAGTTTGAACTCTTTTCCCAGAGACTGAAGAGTGATAAAACGCAGCCCTGGAAGGTTTAGAAGCAAAACTGTGCTTTAGGCCATTGCAAATATCACTTATAAATGGGAAGTTATAACTTATGAATAAATTAGAAAATCTATACCAAACCAGTGAGCTCTAAAAGGAGCCTTGAACTTCTGTTCCTCAGATCCAAGAGCAGTTATGAAATTGACAAAGTAAGTCACAGTCTTTGCAATCTCCTTTAGAATTATTGCCAGCTCTACAAAACAGGTATGAAATGAAAGCCTTTCCTTGCGGGAGAAAAATATATCTTATCAGTTCCAAGCCAAAAGCTACAATTAAAATGTGTTATTCATTTTCCCCACTTCTACATATATTTTAACACTTCAGGAGGTTGTACTATTTCACACTCAGGTTCCAAGTTGACCAGTGCTATATTATTGATTTTTGTTTTTCATTAAATGAAGGACAAGCATCAATATTGTCTATAAATTTGTTCTTAACCACCAAGACTCAGCATTGGAGTTTTATTTTGTCTTGTTTTGTTTGGGGAAAAAAAAAAAAAAACTCACCAAATTTCCTGATATTTCATTTCTTTTTTTTAGATTTTATCTTTTTAACTTCAAAGTATTTAAGGGGATACAAATGTTTTTGTTACATGGATACCTTCCATAATACTGAAGTTAGGGCTTGCTTTATTTATCACCTCTGACTGTTCCCCTGAAAACTACTGAAATTTTTCCCAGTCTTCTTTCCTTATCAGTGTTGGTTCCAAATGAGTAGATGCTGACAGTGGTTACCAAAATGCAAAGGGGTGACAACTTGTTTCATAGAGAAATGTTGCTTTAAACTGAAGGGCATTTGTTGGTTTTATCTCATCTACCCATCCCAATACAAGCACCCACCTTACACATACACACACACACAGAGAGTCTTTCTTGTGATTCGGAACTTACAGCCACCCACAGGCTATGGATACCAACCAGAGGTTGGTGAGCTGATGAATAACTGAGTCCTCCACTGGAAAGGAGATTCATACCACTTCTCTGGAGGGTGGGGACTTAACAATGTGACATGGTGTTTGTGTGTGTGTGTGTGCGCGTACGCACGCATGCACCCACATGCTATATTGATAATAAAAGATAATATGTTTTTTCCCCATTTTTCCTGTGTAATCCTAGCTCCAAGACAGCTACCAAACTTCCTTTCTTCTCTCTGTTCTATGATTGGATGGCAAACTGGCTTGTAAGGGAATGGGAAGAATTTGGCATCGTCAAACGATGTTTCCATCAGAAGCCACAGTAATAAAATTATTTCTAAAAGTATAAAGTTCATACAGTCATGTAAATCCAGGATGAGACCGGTGCAGAGAGGCACAGAAAGGAGATGGGAGTCAGACACAGAGTACAAAAGTCCTCAACCCTAACTTTTTCTCCAAAGGCTCATTTCTATTAGAAAAGAAAGAGAGAGAAAGAGGCTAATGCACAGATGCGCTCCGAATTAATCTCCAAGAAGAAAGCATTCACCAATCCCTGCAGACAGCTCCTTCCAAGAGGCTTTACACTTCACAACAATCAAGACATTCAGGAAAGCCCTGGATAGAACGGATGCCTCCTCTTCTCCAGCAAACGAGCTGTGATGAATGATGGGAGAGTCGTCCGGGCCGCTGGGGTCTGTCCCCGCTATTTATCTGCACAAGTTATGAGCCAGCCTGCATCCTTCTTACCCTGTACCTCTGACCTCACGTTAGTGAGACAAATATATTTGTTGCCTCTGCTGCTCTCTAAATTTCAGCACCGCCACACTATACCTGACTTATGGTTCACTAATTCCAGTGTTCTCTTTCTGTCAGAGATGATAAATGGAATGGAATATTTGTCACCCATACAGTGTTAGGGCTGTGTCCTGTTGACGTCTAATATCTCTTAACCTGCATTGTGCATTGTTTAAAACAATCTGGAATTAGTTTGTGTGTTCAATCATTTCAAATCTTAGGTCAGTATCGATATGGGTAGGATGGTTTTCTCTTTCTGCCACTTGCCTTAAAATTGTTTAGCTCTTGTGAGTGCTAACTTGTGAACGCTACCTTGTGAACATCCCTTTTGTCTGGTGATGGGGAAATGGGGAGAACAATGACCTCAGAGTCAGAGACCTGAGTTCTCTACCAGGTATTAAGTTCCAGACTTCTAAGTGATCTTGGAGGAATACCTATCTAACATTTTTTTTAATCTCATTTTTTGTTCATTTGACAAATGGAGCAATAAACATTGACTTCCCCAGATTATTACTATTATACGGTCTCAGTTAGAAAATGAGTGGAAATTTATATTATTAGTTAAAGAACTTAATTCACATTCCATACAAAATCATTTAAAAAATTTATAGTCATATTTTAAAGTACCTTTATTAATTACATATATCAAAGTAATGCATGGCATGGTAAAAGAAATCTATGGAATTTTAATGAAAATTAATAGTTTCCCATCCATTTGTTCCTTGCCTGAAGACTCCCTCCCTGAAAGATTTTCATTTAATAATTTTTGGCTTTTAGTTTTAACAATTTCTGCTTTTAAATGTGTTGAGTGTTACTTCCTAGGTGTTAAATAATATTCTTGAAAGTCTGTATCTTAATTTATTACTTAGGCTTTTTTGTATTTATTTCCTATATTTTTCTGTCTTACCTTCTTGGAAACTTCTAATTATTTTTTTTTAGCACAAATCTCTTTCCCCATAAAGAAATGTAGTGAAAGGAAAAGGAGGCCTTTTTCCCCTTCATTTCTCACATCCTGAGCTCCATAGGTTGCCCCTCCCCAGAGGGAGCGCTGACCTGAGACCACAGGTCAACCTGTGCCCTCACTCATGGGGACATCAAAGGAGAACACTGGGTTCCTGTGTGACAGTTGTTTTATTCACTTATTCAATGATAATTTGACATTTGCGAAATCATTCAGAATCCCCTTCCTGATCAATAATTTGCCAAGATAAATGAAGATAGCGTGGTGCCCCCTCTAAATTTAATAGTCTTTCAGCTGCAATGAGAGTTGCTTTAACAATATGTCTTTTTTTCTTTTGCCAGCCTCTGCCTTCAGCTTTAATAGGAGCACAATTAGACCTGAATTCCAGCAACTGTCAAAATGAATAAGATGAAGCATGAATTCCATTGCTTTATCCTGCTGCATTCTCAGTTTCTTTTCTAAAGTAATTATTCACAGAATGTAGCACTTTGTTTTGTTTCTCCATGGCAGAGGATGAAGACTCACTATAAATCAATGCCCTGTTCTTATCTGGAATTACCTAGGAAGAAAGCTCTGAAGATGACTGGAGACGTTTGGGGGAAGGAGAGATTTCTTACAAGGAAAAATGAAAAGGATTGCTTAGCTTATACTAAAAAAAGGGTTCTGGAGTAATAATGCCAAGGAATACAAATGAAGAACCCACATGGAGAAAGCCAATAGTATATCTCTGTTTGCTGAAGAGTAATAAATATTTTAAAAATAGGTTTAATTTGGATTAAAGCAAAGCCTTTTGTTGAGTGCAGCATTTAATCTATAAGCATTCTGTTCCATAGGCCTAATTATAAAAGTGTTCTGCACCAGAATAAATAATAATAACATGTAGAAACATGAAATAGAAATTGTAGGTAAATTAGTTGGCTCAAAATTTGCCTTTTCTGTTACCAAGTTATAAAACTGCTATTGTGATAAAGACCCAATTTCTCTCTGATTTTGGAAATGGTATTAGTAAACAATGGCACACATCATGCACAAAAGGAAGCATATGTTATGATAATGATACCATCGTCCATTTGAGTGTTTTAGAATATACTTTGAATATTCTAATATATATAGTATATAGAATATAGTTTAGAATATACTTTGAAATTTCCTCACCAGACTGAACTTCCTGAGACTCTGTTGTGGGACAGCAGGTGTTGGTGCTTTAGCTTTCTAGAACCTGGCTGGGACCTGCTTCTTTTTATCCCTTAGCTTTGTGATAATCCAACTGGAGGAAAAGTGGCTCCACTTCACTTTAAGCCTACATTCAATAGCATTTCAGCTAGAAGTAAACCTCTGAACAAAGTTTTTGTTGTTGTTGTTGTTGTTGTTGTTAAAACCAATTAAGAAAAATAGCATTCTCCTTACCTTTTGTTTAGTTAATCCTGCACCTTTCTTCAAATCCACGTAAAATTCCTTTCTGCCAAGAAGTCTCTTATAATTCTTCTTATTCCATTCAAATAATCCTTATGTTTTTCACTCCTAGAGTCGATGAGAAGCGTTTGGAACATCTTTACTATTTTTAGCCTGTCCTGAATTCAACACACAGTATATTAATATTAGCTCTTCAAAGAGGTTGTAAATATTATCAGGCCTCAAAGCAAATCTTGCTCTCTCTTTATATATGAATGACCATCTACAAGTTACTGAATCACTTTAAACTTCAGGCTTTTTAAAAAAGCTATAAAATATTTAAGTAAATAGACATCCCTGCAATGGTTAGTTGATTTTTTGTGTATGTCTCCCTCACTAAGCAATTCTATTATTGTAGAAGTGGCAATCACAGGACCCCATCACCAGAATTTTAAGGTTTGGTAAGTGACCCGGGACAAGCCAGCCAGAGAAGTCCAAACCCCTGGTGCAAGGCTGGACACATGACCCAAAGTCTTCCTTTGACCTTCTCTGCTAGAGCAGTCATAGGCAACATTCTTGCAGCTGTATTTTTTAATCTTCCTTAACATATGGAAGAAACATGACTATGGGACAGGAGAATGAGTCCAAGGCACAAAAAATCAGTGGGAAGAAAGAGAGTGAACAGTGAATCTAATAATGCCTAATCCACCAATGTTGCTAGAATCTTTACCTGTTTAACCTCCTCAGTTGTTATTTTTACTTTAAGTATTTTTATATTTAATAATTAATCATTAATATTTAATTTTATTTTTTGCTTAATCCACCTTGAGTTTTCAGACTTTTCTTGTTTATAATTTGAAGAGTTATTATTAGGGATTACATCATAGGGTTATGGTTAAGTAATCTGTCCACGCTCAACCAGCTAAAATGTGGCAAACCAAGTTTTTCACTCAGGTCTGCCTGATTCCAAAGTCCACATTCCAGGACACTGTGATTTGCCACAATATTGATTTCTCTATCCTCCAGAAGCAGTGTTGTTGGGAACATCACTGAGTGATCTTATTCTTTCCTGATAGTCTTATGATATTTTATACCATTCCTAAGCAGCCTAGTGTTGGTGTGACCTAGTCACTACAGAAGAACAGGTTTCCTTACCTCCAAAAAGTAGCCTTCTATTGTTAGGTGAAAAAAAAAAAAAAACGATGCAAAGACCAGAAAGATCCCCGGCGAGTGGCAGAAACTCTGGAGATGTCCATCAAGATGTCTTCATTTTTGGTGTTCTATTTTCTGGAACGTGCCCAACTAATTAACCTTCAGATGGGTTGCAGGGCCACCTTCCTGATACAATTCTATCAGGGGCCATTTACTGGGTATTTGTTTTGGACTAGTCTATGGTTTGCAAATGTCTTTGAAAAAAGGTATGTCTTCTGCTTTTCAGTCTTCAGGGAAACATAATTGATTGTCTTTTTCTTAAAGCCATTCCTTCTCTCCCACTTAATTTCTGCTAAGAGATAGTGAATATAGAGACCATTTCCTCTTGGTTTAAAAGTCCACAGTTTGATTCCAGGACTAAAATATTTTTGCAAAAGTTTTCATGAAACTTGAGAGTAGTTTGCATGCATATGAATACAAGGGTGTGTTGCTGTGTTTGTGTATATGCATGTGTGTGCATTTCCTATGGCACCTGAAAATTCACCAGCTTAAAATGCCATGACTTGAACTCCCGTTCAATGCTAATGCCTGTCACCAATGTTCTGGGCAGACTTTCTGGTGGCCCATGAACATATCCTGAGGTTTATATCTTATATAATTCCCTTCACTTGGTTGCAGGCACCCTGTTTCTTGCTCCTAGAATAGAATGTGGCAAAGGTGATGGGAGTTCACGCCTGTGATTTCTGTGATTATGTTATATTACATAAGAATCTTCTTGATAGCTGACTCACTCTTGCTCTCCTGCTTGCTTTGAAGTAGCAAGTTGCCATGTTGTGAACTTCCTATAAAGAGGGCCACATCAGAGGTAACTCTGGCAGCCTTTAAGAGCTGGGGACAGCGTCCAGGTCCAGCTCACAGCAAGAAACTGAAGGTCTCAGTTCTATAGCCACAAGGAAATGAAATCTGCCAACAACCTGAATGATCTTGAAAGGGAATTCTTCTTCAGAAAAACATCCAGATGAGTACACAGGCTGGCCAACGCCTTGAGTGAAAGCTGGTGAGAACCTGAAGCACAGGACCTAGTTAGACTATCTCTGAACTCTTTACCCACAGAATCTACAAGACAATACATCTGTTATGTTCTAAGATGTTATTCTTGCAGTAATTTGCTATATAGCAAAAGGTAACTAATGCAATAGACACCAACTTATGAATAGATTATAAATGTTAATATAAAATGAGGCATTTGCAGTCACATCTGCTGGTTTTGAATATTGAGTGCAGCCTTTACTAGTTGTGTGTGTTCTTCAGAAACTTATTTAATGTCTGTGGGCTTAGCTTAGGCTTGCTAAACTGTAAAGAATTACAAACACATAGCCTTAGTGCTTAACCAACAGGGTGTTTGTAGACGTCACATAAGCTAATTCACATAGTAAGCTCCCAAGAAATGTTGCCTATGTCTATCTAACCCTCTGGGTATCCTCTGGCATCGTTAACCTCATTTCCCATAGTACTTTATTAATACCTTTATTTCAGATTCTGGTATTATTCACCTTAAAATCACCAGGTAAATTACAATCAGCTTGGCTAGCAAATAGCCTCAATAAATAATTGTCAGATTTGTGAATTCATGAGTCTACATTAGGGGTTCTGAGCAAAACAATGTGGTGTTTGATGATCTCAAAAAAGTGATAAATTATGTTTGTGTTTACTCTTTCAATACTAATTGATGTGCCAAGATTCTAAAATAAGATGAATAAATAAGTTCATTACTAAATTAAAAGCTGAGTTTTTGCAAATGTAGTTTACCAAATTGTTGACCACCAGATGGGTCATGATGGTCACTGACTGAATACCAGTGTTGTCTGATGAAGAGAATATGACATTTATCTCAGACACATCTAGGTTTAATGATCTAGGAGAGATCTAAGATACAATGAGCATAAATCAGGAGGTTTTAGTTTTCCTGAACCTTGAAATCTGATGGAGTTACCCTTGGTGTATGTGACAGATCACTGAATATGGACATATATCCCTCCCATGCTGGTATGCAACCCTGTCTACCATGTGACTTTGCCAACCCTTTCTTTAAGGGATAGAGTCCATTTGCCTTGAAACTCTCTGGCTTTATGACGTGGGTTAACCAGCAGATTTTGTCTGAAGTGGTGTTAGGAGACTTCCAAAGCTAAGTCTTAAGGGGACTTGCAGCTTTCCCCTTCACACTCTTGAACAATGTCCTGTGACCAACACATAAGGAAGCTAGGCTACCCTTATGGGGAATGAGAGCCCACATGGAGCACTGAGACTCCCAGACAACAGCCCACAGTGACTGTGGGTTGCATTAGCCCAATCCCAGGCTAACGCAGCCATAAAAGTGATACCTGGGAAAATGTGCACAGAAATCACAGTCAACAAACACACAGAAGCACGAATAATTAATCTTCTTCACTAAGCCAATGCCTTCAGGCAATGTGTTACACAGCAAAAAATAAATGAACCCTCCTGACCCCAAACTCACACACACACATATGCACATATGCACAGGCAGCATTAAGTTTTACTCTTAGCTATTCAATGACTCTGACGGTATGCATTCTACCCTGTAGACATATTTGCAATAGGGGAAAAAATAAGCAAAGAAACAAGAATTGAGAAACATAAACCCATTTTCTGGTGCCATTTTCAAAATTTTCCCTATATGTAAAATGAATGTTACAATGTTGTGAGGCTTGCACGTATAGGGCCCGAAACACAATAAGGGCTTGCCTGGTTTTACCTGCTCTCTGAATCTTCATGTTTCCTAGACTCTTGCTTAACTCCTGATATCCCTGCATTGTAAAGTTTCAATTCCAATGGGTGCACTCTTTCTTATGATTCTTTAAAATTTTTTTTTGTGTATGTGTTTTTAAATCCAACCCTGAGGAAGGAATTAGAAATTCATTCAAATTCCAGTTTGAATGTCAGTCATTGTTAAAGAAATGTTACTCATTTTGTCTTTCCTACATCCCTTCCTTTTGAGAACTGCTCCTCTCTGAGGAATGTAATAAAGGATAGGGTGTAGTAGGCAGTCAAAGGGCCTGCCTCTTAGAGCAATCAGAGGTCTCTTTTACAAAGTAGGCTTAGATGCCAGGAGAGGCAGAACCTCTGCCCTTCTGAAATTCCCAAGCTGTAACACATCATGTGAATCTGGAAGGTTCATTGCATTTTCTATCAAGAGGAGAGAACCTTCCAGAGAATGAAAGTGTCATAGAGGAAAGCATGGGGGAGAGAGAAATAGAAATAGTGTATTCAGATGTTATTTCTCTATTTTTTTAAATATAATTTGAACCCTCAGATCCAGCTATTTCTCATGTATAGATTTTTCAGTAACATGATCAGATGAATTATTATTTTTTCATTTGACAAGCTTAAAACTAGCTGTCTATATCTCTGAGTAATAAGTTGTGTGGTTAATATAGTGACAAAGACTTTTCTGTGGATTTGCAACACATGAATTGTATTTAAAACCTTATCTCTTACAATGACATGAAAATTCCTTTTTTTTATTAAAGGCATTTCAAGTACCAAATCAGCAAGGTGTTTATTTGGTGGGTACAGCAAGGATTTTCCCAGGGTTCCTAAAATTACATCCATGGATATATTACCCCAGTCTCCTATGTGCTATCATTTAACTTAAAATTGCTAAGTACAAAGTAAAAGCATTACTCTACGGAAGGTGTGTGTGTGTGTGTGTGTGTGTGTGTGTGTGTGTGTGTCTGTGTGTGTGTGTGTATGTATATGTTCTGAACTAATCACAAAAAAATGTGTGATGGAAATTGTATAACTGGTTCAACAGTTCCATATTCTCTACAACTTGTGAGACTTCAGGCAAATCACTTTCTTTTGTAAATACCTAATCATCTCAATTGC